GCTGCTTCTAGTGCACAAGACTTCATGCCAGTTGCAGCATGTTGACCAGCTGGGCCTAGCTAACGTCTACTATAGTCCAGATATTAATAAAATTAACCTAGCAGAAAATTCTTTTCAACTAGCATAGCTGCTAAGTGTTAAAGCTGACAAAAACACCACCAATGCATGATGGAATGGTGCAGTGTTGGTTATAAGCTCTTCATTTATCTGCAGCATCTTCTAGATTAAAAAGAAGCCACAGTCCTTAGAGAAACTTACAATTCTAGCCAGACAAGTGGTAGAAAATGGGTCTACGGGTAAACATTTTCAAAATAACCCGAGCCTCATAAGACAAAGCAGGAGAGGCAGCACAGGAGCTGTTCAGAGCACAAAACATACGGGAAACATGCTGGGGAAGAGCAGAGATTAAGACTTTCAGGGTTGAAGTTAATAAGGGTATTTGGCATCAAGTTCTGGAAACTCGCCTCTTTAGAGTTAAACACAAAACACAGTAAGAACGCGTGCTAGATGCTTCATTTGTTTTTCCCTCTCTTCCTTTCAGCCATTCAAAATGTGACTTCCCAACATTCATTTTACATTGCAAATCTGCAAGATGGCGAGAATTATTTCCTGTGGATGACAGCATCAACTGCTGCTGGAGAAGGCCCCCAGGGAAACAGCGAGCTCGTTTGGTTGCAAAGTAATGAATCTGTGGTGGGGGTGACGGGGCCAGGAGATATTCTATCCCTTGGCCCAGTGTTCAGACTGGAAATGTTTTTACCTGCTACTCTTCGATTACCGCAAAACTTACTTTCAGCTGGTTTTAAAACGTAACATGTCGTCTTTTGTCTTCAAGCTCCCCATTTTCTGCCAAGAAAATATTAGTTGTATAGTTAAGAATAGTTTAAGGCTAGGAGTATTGTTTATTGAGAAGAGGGAAGGCAGGACTTGGTCCCTTCAAGCCAGTAAAAACGCTGGCTCAGCTATCTATGCAGAAAGTCCCACTGGCCTCAAATTCTCAAAGAGGTAGGTGGTCCTCTGAGGATCCTCTGTGTTCATAACAGCAACTTCATCACCTCAGAGCCTTCTTTAGAAGCACAGCATTATTGCTGAGTTCCTGCAGTTTATAACTCTGTCATACGTGTAGTCCCTGCTTTTGTGCCTCCTATAGGTGGCAGAAATAAGGCCTTCTCCAAGAGATTTTTGACCGCAGATAAAGGAAGTAATCAGAGTTTATGTCCTGCAAGACATTTGCTGTTTCCTCTCCAGTGCTACACCACAAATAGTACATGGGTGGGAATAGTGGAGAATGGGAACCTGACCTATACCTGACTTATAGAGAACAGAGCAGAGAAAAATCTTAGCAGCTCCAGCATGCTTGGATTAACGTTTAATACAGCAAAATAAAACCGTTGTCAGTAGTTTTAACTACTTCACTTTGAGTTGACATGCAAACAGAGAAGAGCATTTGGCTTTCAGCCTCCAAGCTGTGGAAGTTAGGAAATTCATCTGTCCAGCATGGGAGCCTGGCTTCGCTGAATGGCCCTCTGAGAAGCCTTTCTCATGGACTGCAGAAGGAATCTAGGGAGATGAGCATGATGAAATTAAAACAGCCTGGAAAAATTACTTTTTTTTTTCCAGTCTAAAATGTGGATTTGTGGAAAATCACATGTTAAGCAGATAATGCAAGCCCATTAAAGCCAAGATGTTAGTTGAAAAAAAAAAAAAAAAAGCAAGTCACTGATACAGTTTTTGTTTGATCTTGTCTACTTAATACCATTCTGTTGCATGTATCACCCCAAGTCTATTTCCTCTGTCAGTACTAGAGATCAGCAATTGCATCTTTTGAGTTTTGGACTAAATCTCTCAAGAGATGCTGGTAGAGATCTCTACCAGCATGGTTACAAAATACCATTTTCCCTTAATAACATCAGTTACCTCCAGATTCCAAATTTTAAACCAAAAAAAGTTTTGGTATGTTTTATGAGTGCAAACACTAGCCAAACTGACTGTTGTCCAGTTTGAACGAGCACATTTTAAAATTTGCTTTGCTAACACAGATCAAAAATAGGTGTTCTGGATTTCAGGTGCTGTAGACTGGATTACTGTTGTGCTCACCTGCAGCGTCTTCATATTCTCAGCCTGTATTTGTGCTATACCTCCTGCACGGAAAGTGTAAGTAACAACTATCTGTTACATTCCAACTCCAAGTTGGAGTCTTTGTTGGAAGGCATATTAATGTCTTTTTTAGAATGTCTTGAGGAAGAGGGAGGAGTGTTCTGAATGAAGGTTTCAAGTTACAAAAATGGCAATAACACCACATATTGCACTTAAAATGTTCATGTTTTGTATATATATGGACATTTTAATCCAGACCCCAAATCCTGCTCCCACCAAAATGAAATTGAAGCAGTACAATCCTTGGTAATTCCCCTGGGGATGAAATTAAGCCGCGAGACCATGGCCATATCTAGAGAGTTCTTCTGTCTGCAGGCATTGCTGTTAGTCACATCAGCTAAAAATTTAACTGGGGCCAAAGGAGGAGTATGCTATGCAGCATTTGTTTTCACTGATTCAATAGCTGCTCAGTGTTACCTTATCCTGGCTTTGCATATGGGCAATATTAGCACCTAGAATGAACTTCCACTGGTATCCGCTTGGCACTTCCTCATCAGCTAGCTGCACGTGCCGAGTGTCTGTCTTCGCCCCTGCCCCAAACTGCACAGCCTCCTTCCCCAGCCCAGCTCAGGCTGGCAGTCAGCAAGCAGGCTGCTTTTAGCCCCATCACTACTGCATAGACTGGCCTCCTTTTGCAGGAGAACCAGCCAGAAAGGGAGCCCGGAAGTCACTGGGCGGGGGAATAGGGTGGTAAGAACAGGCACAGGCACAAGCCAGTTTCACAGCCACTGGCAGGCCATCTAGGACATGCCTCTCTTACAGCACCTGTGCCAGGTTCTGCTCTAAGAGTAGAGGTTACCGCTTGGAAGCGGCTGTAAGTGTTAGCGCTAAGGAGCTTACATGCTCCAGGCAGTCCTGGAACCTTAGACATATACTTCAGACCCTGTTATTTTAGTGTTCTGTGTTAGGAGCAGAAATAGAAAGATCTGCCTCTACAAACTCAATCACATTCACAGTTGCATCTTACAGACTTTTCAATTAGGCCCATTACTTGCATCTATTGATGTAGGAGGGGCAAGGCCTACAACAGGACAGACTTACACCATCCAAATATAAGCATCACCATTCTTGAATTTAAAAAGTCAGCAAGGATTTACACATAGTCCGGTTGCAAAAGTGCAGTTGTTCACCTGAGATGATATAGCAGGTGCCATCTAGTCTAGGCATCAAGGCATAAGGCTCTACAGCAATCAAGCTTTGAAAGACTCAAAGACTGATTTTTGGAGTCAGGTCTCCCATCAAAAAAGAACATGCCAAAAGGCTTAGTTTGAACTGAGCAAAACCTGGAGGCCACAAACTACTGGTCAGTGGAATAGTGTGTGTTCTCAAAGCAGACTAGTGGCCATAAGCATAAAAAAAAAAAAAAAGGAAGGCTAGTCAAAGCCAAAACTAAGCAACTTCAGCATATGTCCCCACTCACTTCTGGAGGATCTGTAGTCCCACCCAGCCTGGATTGCTGTTGGTCCATCCTAAGGAAGCCATGATCTCACGGGATTCTTTGGCAGTTAAATGCACAGACTCCACATGCCAGTTCACTAACACTTGCAGATATTGACAAGATATTGGATATTCATGCTTTTAATTACGTATGTTCCATTTGTAGATTACACTTGCTCCTTTCTTTCATTGTGCCTCAATGGTATAGCAAAGCCATTCCCAACCCAGCTAATGCTACATGGGCTAAGAACTACACATCTATGAAGGTAAATTGTACTGTTTTTCTTCTAATTCTGCCATCCTCAGTTAAAAAAAAAAGTTATGCAAGTCAATAATCTCTTAATGCAGCAAATCCAATGTTTTCTAGTAGTGGATAACTGCTGAATTCTTTTAATCAAGCTTTTATTATGTGAGATTTTAGTATTTATCAGGCAAATGAAATACAAGAACAATATAGAGATTTTTCATTTTTGGCAGTATTAGATGTTATGCTTGAAGATATTTACATTTTGATGGAGTCCAAAGACACTTACTGCATAATTATTCATCACTGCTGTATGTGTACCCCTCCACCAGGGTGAGCTGAGTTTACCTTCTCATCTGTTTCTACACAACATGAGCGGTTTTGAAGAGCCCGAAACAATAGAAGTAGAGGAAGCCTTCATAAAGAAAGACTCTCTGGTTTTCCAGGACAAACTCAACTTCAGCAACATTAATAGCAGTGAAAATCATGACTGGCAACTGGAAAGCAGCTTTGAGAAACAGCATTGCGAGTACAAGCCTTTGCCCAGCACAACAGAGGGAGATATTTATGAGCATCAACTTCCCTACTTGTACAAGAAGATAGTAGTGGACATTACAGAACAAACGCAAACTGCTTCCGAGTACATTGCTAATCCAATTACTGAAACTACAACTTATCTACCCTCAGCTGTGTTATCACCTATGACAGCCACTAATGAAGACGACTATGAACTTGACTGCAATCCAATTTCTGTTTTCCCAACAACTTCTTTTTTGACACCAGTATTTTCCTATGGAGGGAAACTTACCCTAGATGCAGTAAAAATAAACTGCAACTCCTTCACAAGGTAGGTTATCAGGGTGATATAAGAGTCTGGCATGATTTTTTGCACTTTGGTCAAACACTGCAGCATGTGTTTGAGTACAGCCAATACAGTAACTTGTACATGACACCTTTTACTTAAATGACACAACTCACAGACCTTGAGTTTCAGCATTGCCACACATGCCTTACTTCACAGTGCAGGAGCTCTTTATCCACAGATCATGTTTACACAGAATTAAAGACAGAAGACCTGGGATTACCAGGGCTCAGTGACCTGGCTCTTTGAGGGATTAATCACTCTCTCAGGCTGCCTTCATAGAGTCTGGATTGCCTCAGCAACTTTGTCCCACTGCCTAACACAACAGCTTGCTTCACTGGAAGTCAGACACTTGCTAGCAATATCATTTAAACCACTGCTTACCCAGAAGAGGTGAGGAGCTATTTCCGTTAAGGTCAAGCCTCAGTATTTGACCTCCAGCAGGATCCTGGCTATAGTCCGTATTCCTGCTACACACATTAGAAATGCAGCATTTGGAAGTCTGTATAAACTGGTGCTAAACTTACATACTCAAAAACCCAATAGATAGTATTTATTTCAGTGCAGCCTGCATATAGGCAGTAATTGCTGTTTTCCTTAAGTACGCTGGTGCTACAGCCCAACACGGGCACTGAAGGATGCATAACCTCATCACTTCTGCAGCAGAATTCAAAAGTTTAATCAAAGTGAGCCTGCCTTTATGACTCAAAATTAGAAAGGGAGAAGGAATCCTTGCCAAGACTAAATAGGCAGCGCATGTACACAGTAAGTCAAATGGACTAGTGAGAGGAATTTAAATAATTTATTGAAGTATTCTAATTACAGTTTTGAAGTATTTGTTACACATTTATTGACTTTAATCATATGTGTGTGTGTATGTGTGTGTATAATATATATATAAAAATAAAACCTTGGAAATCCAAAAGTTGTTTCCTGTTGTTTTCTCCAGCCAATTTCAGGTGCTGAGCTGCAGCTACACAGAATAAAATGCTGTTTTTAAAAGTAAAGCATATGCTTTGCTGCTAGAGATGAGGTAGTTCAGATTTTGAACTTACCTTGAGTATCAGTTCTTTGCCTTCTTTTACTCAGGATTCAGATTGCTGTTCTCCATCCAAGGCTGGTAACACAAGCCGTTAAGTTAGTGGCATAAAGCTAGTACTGAAAACCTGTGATACTATCATCTCAAAGTGCCTCTACTAAAAAAAAAAAAAAACAAACTTAGATCTAAGTTCTTGAGGAAGTGATCCTTAACAATCCTGCAAACGTATTCTTCTAAAGCAGCAACAGAAAAATACTTGCAGCACAAGACTTACTTCAAAGCCATGGCTTTTCCCACTGCGTTTGACTTGAAATAAAGAAACTAAAAGGAATTGTTGCATTAGAGAGACTTCTTGCTTGTTCTCCTCCAGCCTTTATTCCAGATCCAGCTATGTTATCTTCTGAAAAGGTCCATAAACTGGTATTATGGTCTCAAGTTCAAAGATGCCGTATGACAATCTTGTGTTTAACTGAACACACTGCCTTCTGTCAAGTGTGAGAACAGTACAGGATCATTATTAAATTTGTAGAGTTCTATACATCTACCTGTATTGTGAAGATGCCTCTATAGTAGATGGTAATCTATGAAAATGTGTATATGAGTTTTAAGGTTCCAATTACTCAGTTTTAGGAATGTGAAATTAAGAGTCCTGAGACCAGCTCTTGTGTACAGCAGTGACTTCTTAATGGATTTCTCTGCAATGTAGAAAGATGCTCAATATGCCCAGTGTATTTCATTTTAATTAGCATAACAACTGATCACAAGTAACATGTCTCTTCTCAAACCTTAAGTTTTCCGGTCTTCCGCTTCTGCGTCTTGAACACAAAATCATATCATCAACAGTGATTTAGCTATCATTAGATTTAGTCTATACTTGACAAATATTCCTACACAGAAAAGACACCTACTTGTTATAATAATGAAACAGCTCAGGTATCTGATCAGCAGTTAAGTGGAATCCAGCATGCAGCTTGTCAATCAGCTTTCCACCTGACACTACTTAAAAATCAAAGTAAATAACCTTGACCTCACCACACTGCTGAGATGTGTTCGAATAACTGGAGTTTGCCAGCCAGTAGGATCAAGAGCGTCACGAAATGTGGCATTCCATCGATAACAGCTACTCAGAGCTCAGGAAGGAACCGAGGGACAGAAAAATATATACGCAACCGCTATCCACAAAGTTTTCCATTGTTTTCCAAAAGCAAAGGAGAAGGCCCTTCTGGGAAATGTTGCAAGAAGAGATGAGGAAAACCATTCCAGATAAACAGCTACCGGCAAGCTGCTCTAATTCAAGCATGGTTAAAAGTTGAAACCGTGCAAGCACTCAGGCTTCTCTGCAACACAAAGGACAGTTTTTGAAAAATGCTTTCCTGCTGCAACACGTGCAGAAGCCTCCCAGCACTCAGAGCACAGGGGCTCACTTCCCAGCAGCCGGCACAACTCGGCTGCTCCCCACGGCTGTCCCAGCACAGGCAGCTCAGTTTCCAGACAGGAACGCCCCTATACTCACCTTGGGCACGACACTACCCACTCCCTTTCCCACCTGTAACAAGGGATTATTTTCCCATCACAGTCACTACAAAGTTTATGAGTTCCTGTCATGGAATTCAACAGTCCCTGATGGAATACTTACCCTTATTGCCCACTTGACATTAACACATGTTTGTGCTAGAAATCATGCTTTGGAAAAAAAAAAAAACAAAACTTATTTCCAGATGTGCAAGTAAGTGCACATGCCTAAGCAGTCTCTCGCTTGAGGCAGAGGAACATTTTCATTAAGACAAAATACAGCAGCCTTTGCCTCTCCAAGGTACTAATGCAAGCAATACACATTTCCCTTTCCCACCTGCAGTTTGAATATGGCTGTCCAAACTGGCAGGCTTTTTTTTTTTTTTTTTTAAAAACTCAAAGGACTCTCAATACATCTTGTAAAATTTTACAGAAGCTCTGCAATACAGTCCCTGCTCATGTACTAACTGAAAGTTTAGATTTGAATTGTATTTTGGAATATATTTGAACTTGACCTTCTCCTCATTACCACCTCCAAACAGGCCCAGGACTTCTCTATGCTCAAGGTTACAAACAAAAAGGTAGCTGTTCATGGATGGACTCGGCACGGAAGAGGACAAACTTCCGCAGAAAATTGGTTTTCAACAGCGGCCCACAAGTGACCTGCAGAACAGCAGCCCTTTTTAGCATCTTCATCCAAATCTGATAAAGGTGCATGGTGGCCCGCTGTTAAAAGGGATCGCTGCAAGAAGAAAGCATGTAAGTAGCAACCACCATTTTGCCTTGACGCGCTTCCCTCCTGCGCCGTGCGAGTGCCCTGCCAACATCACGCTTGACCCGCAGCAGCTCCCCTGCGTGCACGCTCACCCAGCGCTGCTCCAGCCGCAGCCGGCCAGACCTGCGGTCTACTTTCTTAAGAGAAAGATGACGGAAGCAGAGCTGACTTGCCCTCTGTACGTTACATCACACAATAAAACTCCTGACGTCTGTCAAGTACAAACCCCAAAACACAACTAAACATACCGGTCACGTGCTAGTTTAAATTTCTGTAAGTTTACACTAAAAACAATCCCACATCAAATTTACCTTCGTTCCACCCATTAAAGAATGTGCAAGTAAAGTAAAGCTCCCTCACCTCTGGCTTGGTATTACGAGGACCTTTGCAGAAATGTCTCGCGAGTGAAGGCCAAACAGTTCAAGTACACTTATCAGTAATTACAGGTAAGTTCACATACTAGCGCAGTGGATTCTGTGACATGTAAAATGAAGCAGCCTTAGCTCATGTTTAACTGTCCACAAACAAGCATCAGCGCTGGTCCAGCTCACCTCCGGTCCTGCAGAGCACCCAAGAAAGTGAAATGCGTTTTAACATTACCTGTTAATGCTGAACACAAATTAAAAGCTGTATGATTACCCAGAATTGAGAGAATCTCTTGAGCACTGCACACACCTCAATCATATATCAAGTCTCAAGGTTGCACATACAACCACTTTCTGATTTTGAAGTCTTAATTGCTGATAAAACATGAGAGAAAAAACACCCCAAACTAGAAGGTCCTACTTCATTTCCATCTTCCAGGAAGAAGAAATGACAGCATGCGCTAACTCATCTTTCAGACGACCTAAGCATGGTCAGTTTTGCATGTACTACACAACTTGGACAAAAATGCATTAATTCCTGTAACGCTGCAATCTTCAGTCCTTACAGGAGCTGTGATCAGCTTGAGGCACCAACTGCGTGGCTAGCCACAGCCAAACAAAGCAGGGCACAGTCACCACAGCTATTTTATTGCTAGGAACAAACCCAAGACTACCTTGTTACTGAAAGCTTTGAAGACAGAGTGAAAACAGCTTTGTTACTATGTGTCACTTGCACTGCCATTTTCTGATCCCCATCAAGTATTTCATGTATGAAAATAATGTATGTGAAGGCAACAGATAGAACTACACCCAGAGAGGCTTCAGACAAGTCGGTCAGGCACTGCTCTCCAGCTTCATAAAAGACCACTCTCACAGCTATTAGCCTTAACACTTAAAGAGTGTTAAGGTTTTTTTGCAAAACGCATCAGCCCTGCTACTTCATTTTTACGTCTAGCAGCTTGCTTTGGTAAGCAGTATCCAGCCTGGTGTACAGATATTTTCCGTCCCCGTGATGACTCTGGCTCTGAGTTACTCAAACACTTCATTCGTATTTGTGTTGGACATCCAAGACGACACAGCTCCGTTTTCATGCTCTCCGTACTCCACCTGGCAACCACCCTGCAGCAGGGCTCTGGCTGCACATTGCAGACTGATCAGTACCTCAAGTCAGCTGCGTCAAACCACATTAGGTATCTTTTACAAAAGGTATTCTTAAAAAACACCACACTATTTTGTCATTAATGTTTCCTTACATTGACCTTCAACTTTATAGACAGCAGCACTTAACATATTGCTAGCCAATTCTGAAAATTATTGATCACAAACTGAACACTACAGTACCTCTTCTCCTTCCCTTAGGAGAGTTCAAGTACATGAAACCCAGAAGTCCAAGTTCCCACGTGGAGCTTCCCACAAAGTCCTACTCAGGCTTGAAAAGGCACACGGCACCATCAACAGGAACAGTGACCAAACTACTCCTATCTGAAAGTCCCCTAGAAGTACAAATGAGCCATTTGTCCCAAATCGGATTCCACCCCCTAAGCAAAAATACGGTGTTCATTTTTCCTAACACAGCACCCAGCACAGCAGCAGTGACAGTGTCCACCCCACTCGCGGGAACATGCCCTGCACCTGGGGCAGATGCTAGCACCTGACTGGCGAAGGCAGACCAAAGCATCAGCTCTGCAATGAGGGTAACGTGGCCCTTGTAATGATTTTATAAAAGAAGTAGGTTAGCAAATGCTGGAAGTAGCAGCTTTAGGCATATGTCCTGCGTTTATTAAAACAAGAGGCGTGGCTATGCAAACGAATCTCAATGGGCAAAAAAAGTCATTACAGTTAAGAGTGGTCTCAACTCTTTGAAACTGCAAACACCATATATTCACACCGACTTCTGATGTTTAGTTTTCCTCAGAAGAGTTCGTGTCCTTTCCCACAAGGACAACACTTGCATTTATCATCAGTCTTGTTCCCTCCCAGTATCAGTGGCATTCAATCCATAAGATGAACTTTCATGCTCAAACCTTGCAATCATTTCATTCGTAAGCCAATTTTCGTTACATGCTTCTCTCCAATTTTTTCTGCTCTGACCATCTTTTTAAAATGGTTCAGATTTAAAAAGGTCTAGTCCTCTGGATTTGGCGTGACAGCACAAGTAGCAAGCAAGAGGACAGAAAATGTTACTACAGAGCAAGCTCGTTAATAGTAAATACTGGAGCTACTCAACAGAGGGAGACATTTTCCCAAAGCAAAGTCCATTGCTAGTAACGGAAATGCCTGGGCACCATCACCACTCGGGGCAGAACCTAGATGAGACACTATTCATCTAAGTGGATTCACGTCCACGTGTCTTCATGACATTTTTAAAAGAGCATGAAAATAAACCTTTATTTCAGTTAACACCCACCAATATTAAAGATATATGTTCACAGTTTTAGTTCTTGACACAAATGGACTGAAAGAGGCAAATTTACATCTATCAGAACAGCAGACAGACCAATTTTAAGTACAAGCCATCCTGGAAATTTTATGTGACATGCCATTCAGGAAATTGCTCTATAATCTAAAGCAAGAGAAGGGAAAGCTTCTGACCAAATCGCACTGGTAGGGCCCCAAATGACTAGTTGGCCCAGAGCTAATCTGGGGAAAAAAAGCCGAGTGACAACTGAAACGGCAAATACACGGTTTGGATAAGGGGGGGGGGAAGGTTTATATTACAGAGAAAGCTTTTCCATAAATGTGTTTCTGAATATCAAAGCATTTGTTTAGTTATATTATCCGAGGTGTCCCTACCATTGAAACTGCAACACATTCTACCAGGCGGAATGTGCAAATCACAAAGGGAGAGGGAAGAGAAACGACTCGGTGCCCGGGAACTGATCCCCCCGACACTAAGCACCTGCTCAGAGTCAGGAGAACTGAACCACGAAATATTGCCATCCACTGTTTGAAAACTTGCCTCCTTCTCACAGCCTAGTACTTTCAAACCGATAGGTGAGTGCGCTAAAGTGTAATCCAATGATATTAACAGTGGTTTACAACAAAAAGTTTTGTAGAAAACAGTTCAGATAAAGCAAGCCAGCTAAACACCACAGTTAAGGAGTCTGATATTTCATATTCAAAGGTCTCCAATACTTTTTGCCTGTCCTGTACAGCTTTTAAAAAAATAGGGCGTTACCATTTGTTTTCTATCTACCTAGTTAAGAAACTACAAATATGTTATAAGCTGTTCAAAGTGTAAAACATTAAATAAAATGAGAATCCTGTTTCTAGTCTCCTAACAAATGCTGCAGATAAAAACTCTAAGAAACCCTCTTTTTTAGTCATTCTCTCAACTCCTTTTGTGTACTGAAGTGGTAATGTTCCTGTTCACAGGGGTTAAATTAAACCTATGACAAATTTCTATAGGGGTGTAAGAGTTCCTTACAATCACTCTCTGAAAAACATTCATTTGTCAGCTAGCAATCAGAGCCCAATGTTGAAAAATCCCGAACAAAATTTAGATCGGAAGGTATGCATTGCGATTTTCTGCTGCAGTTTTTTTTAATCCCATACAGATTGCAAAGGTCCCTGTTTGAAACAGCAAGCCAAAAACGCCTCCTTCCAGACCTAGACAGAGCCCCTTAGTTTCTTCTTCAGGAGAACTGCCACTATCAGAGCAGTTCTGTAAATATTCAGATGCTGACGTATTTTGTGAGAACAGACTGCGCTGCTGCACTCCACATCCCAGCTGTAGTCCAAGCAGACTACTGAGCAAAAGTTGCCACCTTCCCCACCACCTCCCCGTTCCATATAACAGGAAAATGTACTCCAATCTACAGGGTACCCCCTAAAAGAAAAAGCGTAGGTAATTTAAAAACTTTTTTTTTTTTTTTGCCAACAAAGCATCTAGTTTGGTTTTAGGGAGAAGGAGGGAATAAAGGTGAAAAGGGTGAGTGAAAAGTGTAATACATAATTAAAAAAAACTGTTTAGACCAATTATCCACACATCACTGCTGGATGAATACACAGGTATTAACTATAAACCAATGTGCTTTGAATATCTTTTCAAGTATTTGATATCAATTTTGTATAAAGATTTTGTGTAAACAAACTACCATAGATGAAAAATGACTGTTTTTCCAAGTTTGAAATTAAGTATTAAAACTAAATTAAAGAACTTCCAGGAGTTAGTATTCCACACAGTACTAACAGTCTGCCAAATTAAATCTTACATATTCCAAAAGACCACGGGCTGATAAAAATCTCCTAAATAGGTATTAAGGAAACAGAAATAGTGTGCAATAATTAAAAACCAGTTTGTAGTTTGGGGAAAATGTCTAAAATCCTGAATTAAAAAACACAAATGAAGTGAAAGCTTTTAACTGGTACACACTGTTCACACCTATATTTCAAGTTTGGAAACGCATATTTTCAAGCAGCAATACAAAAAAGTATCCATGAAGAATGCATAATCTCTGAAAAAATTATGAAAACATCCCTGCTACCATTACATTTCTAAATACAAAACTGACTACCATATTGTTGCTTCTGTGTAGCGAGAGAAGTTCATTTTCAAAACAGATAAAATTCAGTCTTTAGGTGTGAATGGTATGAATGACAGTCTCCTTTTTAAATTTCTTAGTTGTTTAGGATCCTTAAGCATGCAAGCCTCGGAGAGGAAGGCCCAGTGAGGGCAGGGTTGGCTTATGACATCCAGTTTAGGACAGAGCTGGGAAAGCCTCTGGGTCATCTACATCAGGAGCAGAAGCACTTGACTGAAAGAGAAATACCAGAAAGTTATTAGCTTCAGAGGCAACAAGCCCTACCGTGTTTCTAACTCTTCACGCATACTGACGTATTCCCACTCGCTAGATAGAAACGTGAGGGCTCAGCACAGAACTGAGCTGGGGCGGTGCGACATATAGCTGCTCAGCTGAGCACAACTGCGAGGGCACGCTGGGGCCTGGCCAACCTGCGTGGGAAGGGGCAGCCTCCAACCTCTGCGACTGCGGAGACAAGCCGCGCCGCCCCAGCGCGGGGCAGGAGCTGCTGGAGACACAGCCACTTCCTCCAGCCCAGGCACT